ACTCAGGCCCTCTCAAGCGCAGAATGACTCAAGGACAGATGTTGATAGGTGTTATGAGTTGAATAGAGCCCCCCCAATACTGTGACATGTGAGACTCATCTGCTTTCAGCTAGACTGAATTCTTATAAAGCACTGTCCAGGTGGCTGTGATGAGCTGAATCATTGCACAAGGTCACAAAAAGAAGGCTCAATCCACTTAAGAGGTTTTATGAGTTGTAAAATGTTAAGCAGATTTTGAAAACCTCTTTAATTTTTAAATAGTAACTTCACCACACATAACATTGGAGGGGATGTATTAACCAGTCCAAAAGATAATTAGTTATACCTTAAATTCCTAGCTACACTTCCTATTGGTATAGAAATCAACCCAGAGTAAAACATCACCTGTCTCATGACATTCTATGGAGAATAATTGTCACTTTCAAAGATACCACATTTGGGATCAATTTGAAAAATCACTTATAGAATGTATCATTTTTAAAAAAAATTAATAGCTTCTTATTGCTAATAATCCTAAACAATTGCCAAAAATGAATAAAACCCTTAAATAAGTTAGCATTTCTTTAGGGAATTCTTCCCAAAACTTGTTTTTCTCATCATCCTAACTAAAGTGGTTAAAAGGATCCCTATACTTGATGAGAAAACGATCTGACAAAAAAAAGAAGGGAGAGAGAAACAGGAAAGGAAAATGTACCCTTCTTTGAAGGCAGTTGTGCTACTCCTAAAATGATAGAGTCCCATGGAATTAAAACTTTCGCTTTCGATGCACTTTACTTCAATGAGGAGACATGTTTTTTATTAAGTAAACCATTTGGCTTCAACCTCACACTTTACGAGCTGAGGAAACTCATCGGGGAACTTTAGAAAACATGTATCACTTTGCTCTGTACAAAGAATAGTCACTGGCAAGCCAAGAACATCTAAGATGCTAAGATCCCAACACTAGGAACGTTTGCCCAAGGTGTCTTAATAGTTAATTTCCCTTTCCGTTATTGTTGTGGGCTGTATTCCAAAGGGCACAGCAAGACCTTTCAGAACAGAGTTCAGCTCAGCATTCACAGAGCACCTGCTGACAAGTTTATAACATTAAATCTTAGACTTTGAGACTCCAAGAGTAATTACTGGCAATATGCTGTTTTATTTTCCTGCACTTTAAGCCAGGATGTGTGTGTGTGTGTGTGTGTGTGTGTGTGTGTGTGTGTGTGTGTGTGCATGAGTGTATGTGTGCGTGCATACGCTGTCTAGCACAAGAACAAAGGCTAATTCCCCATGATTCCCTTATTACAGATTTAACAATAATTTGTTAAACAATTGGAACCATAGAGGTTTCTGAACAGCTGTACTGTTTAATTTCATGTTAGCACAGACTGGCAGCTATGCTTCTGCTTCTTCTGTCCTCAGATAGTTCATAAAGCATCTAGTACAGATGGGCACTGTGTGGAGGACAGCATACTGTGAACTTTTGACTCCACTCTGTGACTCAACAGGAAAAAGGAAAAAAAACAGCTTCAACAAATTTTCTCTTCTCCTGTGAGACTGGGAAACCAACCAGGCAGTGTGTGGGATAGCACAGTTTGCAAACAGAAACCTAAAAGTTGGTAGACATTAAAAAAATCCACATTTGACAAAGCTATAAGGAACATTTATTCCCTTTTATTTTCCTGCTTATTTATTTCAGTTTTTTCTAATCTAAAGGAGCTATTTTATAGAAAGAAGTAAAAATGTAAGAAATAAAGGAAAGATGAGACAGCATTAGAAACAAAACACTGTAAGAGCCATTTTAAGTGTAGACATCTTGGTGTGAATATGACTGGTAAAAACTCAGTCAACTGAAACATGAATGACACTTGGCTTCTTGGGGGCTGAGTCAGCAGAAAATGGCTGACATCAGATGTCCAGGAAACCCAAGGTGAATACTGATGTAACCTTTTATATAACTAGTTTCAGTTAACTTAAGCTTTGTGTTATTCTATGCAAAAGGGGCCTTGAGTTCAGAGAGTTTTCTGTGTGTGTCCCCTTCCTCCTGCTTATGTGCATTTGTCTATAGGCCTATTAGTGTGTAGCTTGCATTCAGCCCATGGGTGCCAGTTGCAGCCTGCCTAGTAGCCTGGTGTTTGTGCTGATGTATAAAGAATGACATGTCGATCTTTAGCATGTGAATTCTCTTCATCTTCCCAGCCCCTTGTGACTTTTCATTTCTTCACTCTCCAGTGTGAATGCAAGTATCTTACAGGCAGAAAATAATGGGAAAAATACAGAAGGGAACACAGAAATCACTAAATGTGCTAGTCTGCTTTCTGTTTCTAGAAATGAATTCCAGGGGTCAAGTAACTTATAAAGAAAAGAGGTTTATTTATCGCACATGTTTGAAAGTTCATTGCATAGACATCTGCTGTGCACGTGGGAAAGACCTTTCTGCTGAGTCCTGCCATAGCACTGGGGCATGCTGAAGACAAAACAAGCTTGCTAACTTGGTTTTTCTCTCTCACATCATAAAAATCCACTAATGTATGAGGTTCCCACCTCATGACCTCACCTAATCCTAATTACCTCCCAAAGGCCTCACTTGCAAAGCACCATAAATTTAAGACTTTGGAGATTGAATTTCACCATGAGTTTTGGAGTGAACAAATACTCCAACCAATGCATCTTTCCCCTGACCCGCCCCTAAACTCAAGTTAAATAGACAGACATTCTATCTTAAAGAATCAGCTCAATATTCCAAAGCCCAGAATTAAATGTCATGAGATACAAAGCCCACCTTTTCCAGCGATGGACCTCTAAGATTAAAGGAAAAGTATTATTATCTTCAATGCTACAATGGATAACAAGGCACAGAGTATGTATTCCTCTCTGAAAGAAAGTAAATGATCAACCAGATCAATAAAATATTAAACCTATCTGAGTAGACACATCATCTTAAATCCCCACAGTTCTCTGCACCCCACTGAAGGAGTTAGCCACCAAAAGATCATGGGCAGTGTTGCCTCTAAGGTTATATGGAATTTACCATAGGTGGCATGCCTTACAGGTTAGAGTGTCCTGCCTCCAGGTTTCCCAGGTGGGTGTTGCAAGTTATCAGTCTTTCTGCAATTCTGGGATTTAAAAGATAGACCCATATTTTGAATATAGCATCTGCAAATGGAGTTGTGTGATGGGGCTCCTCTTGGTTGTCAACTTGACTAAATCTTGTATTAACTAAACTACAATCTTTTGGGTACACCTGTCAGGGACTTTCCCTAAGTTAATCATCTGAAATGGAGACATTTTGAGGTGGAGAGATCCATCTTCATTCTGAGACACATTTTCTGGTGGCAGCCTCTATGCAGAATATGGAAGAGGGAATCTTTTCTCTTTGCCTGCTTGTCCTGTCACTCACTGACAAGCCCATTCCTTTACTGGCAATAGAACTTCTTAATTCTACAGGATTCTGGCTTTTACTGAAGACAAGCTAAGACATTCAACCTCATGGACTGGATGACTATTAGATTATTGGACTTTCCATTGGTAGATAGCCATTGTTGGACTATCTATACCTATACCTTTACCTATAATTTCACCTACACACACACACAAATATATATATATATATATGATCTATCTATGATCAGCAGCAGCCATACGTTGCCAATAACTCATCAGAAAGGGATGTGATTTCATGAGCATCTCCCCATCCAAGTAGGAATTTGGTTGGTTTGATCAACTATTTTTAGACATCAGGATAATTGCTTAGGAAGATATTATGTCTATTTGGTAGAATAATAATAGGAGTAGGCTCTCTTATGGATCCTGTCTCACTTATGGATCCTGTGAGATACATAATCATGGGTTGTTGGGCAGATTTACAGGACTAAGCATGGATTTTATGATAACATATTTAGAGTCTGATTCTTTATAATTTCTATGAAGAACTACACATTAAATTTCACAGCAATGTCATGCATTTTCCTCTTTAGGCATATCTGAGTAGTCCCCTTAATAAATGATCTCCTAAATTAATCTATATGCTGATGCTTTCTTAAACACAGTATTCAAACAATATATTACTAGGTCATACAATAAATTCATTTTTAAGGTTATTAAAGCCTTCCAGATTGTTTCTAAAAGGACTGTATCACCAAATATCAATGTGCGCTTAGGTTTGTTTTCATGTATATTTGCCAAACTAGAAGTACAAACATTAGAAACATTACTCATCTAGAGGATTGAAGAATGACATCAAATTGCCAGGATATTTGGTATGATTCTTCCTATTACTTTCTAAGATGCAACTATATTTTCATATTTCATTTGAGTTCTCTTGTCTGGGTTAATTAGGCATAGAATTGTTCCATTTAATTAGTCTACTAGAGAACTTTAAAAATTTATGAACATTGCTCATCAGTGTATTATGTTTCAGGTACTTTCTTCAATGCTGTCCTTTATTCCATAGCTTTTTTAGATATAGAATTGGAAACAATCAATTCTTATTTTCTCTCTCTCTCTCTCTCTTTCTCAGCTTTCCCTTAAATTCATGGAATATTCACTTCTGGAAGACATATAGTATTTCAATAACACATATTTTACATGTCTTTATGCCACTCCTTAAATTTGTGTTTTTGTTATTACCTGCTTGTTATTTTTACATCTGTAATGTACTTTACAAAGTTATTAACTGAAAGTTTAACTTTTTGAATTTCACTGGAGAAATATTATGTTCATTATTATTTAATAAATAACTCATCTTTTTCATACTAATAGTTCAAAAAGTGTTGTTATTGAATCCATTTACAAGTTTCTGACCTCTATATTATATATTCTTTTATATTACTGCTATAGTATAAGGAAATGAATTTAATTAGAACAGTTTAAATTACTATAGATTTATCACATAGTTCACTAATTATTTTAATCAATCTTCGTGTTTTCCTCATACCATTGTAATTAGTTGTTACCCTGATTTGCTAAGGAATATGTTTTGGCTATACTTACAATCCATTTTACCTTGTGTATTTTTTTTTACTTATTGCACCAACTCTTAAGACAAAGGACACTGGACATTAAGAAAGATGTCCACCCCTGTCCTTGTGATCCAGTGCAATTACTTTTCTTCTTGTGTGTACTCTGCTATTACCTTGTGTATTTTAAGTTATTTTTCTAGCTTCTCTGAAAATCTTTTGTATATTCTTATCAAATTTAGTAAATATTCAAAGAGTTGGAAAAGGACTTTAAAAAATGAGACAAGCAAAGAGCATCAATTCATTCCAGGAAGGAAGAAGCTCTTATTTAAGAAAAGCCAACACCATCAGAAGGACTTAAGAAACAAATTGAATGACATCCCAAGAGACAGATGTAGAAAACACCAAACAACACAGTAGTAGATTAGCCTCCAATTATAAATAAATACATGTGCAACCATACAACACAAATAAATTAATGCATAAACAAATGGTGAAGGTAAATTCAAATACAGAAGAATCGCCAATATATGTATGCTTGCTACTTGATAAGAAAAATACTCATCAACATCACCCAACTACAAACTATGAAACCTACAACAATGACCTTCCTGTAAGATCTATTGGAGCAATAGTGTTATGGGAGTAAACAATCACTTTTTACTTGGACTGCTCCCTAAAACAGAAGACATGCCTGACACTGATAGATTTGCCAAGCACCTTAAACTAGATAGATAATGGATATTATGCAGCTAAAGAAGCATAACAATAGAGTCACAATTAATGGTGCTGGTATTCCCATAGATCACTGAATAACTCAGCTCTCATCAAAAAAGCCTTTTTTTTAGAGTAGATTGTAATTAACAGACAGACCAACAAAAATCTACAGAGAGTGAGTGACTTCTAGCTCTCAGTTCTAAATGAGATGTTTTAATCAAAAAGTTCCCCTCGGACACTCCTCCATTGCTGGTGGGAGTGCCAACTGGTTCAGCCACTGTGGAAAGCAGTATGGAGATTCCTCAGAAAAATGGGAATAAACCTACCACAAGACCCAGCAACTGCACTCTTAGGCATATATCCAAAAGATGCCCATTCATATAACAAAGATGTCTGTTCCACTATGTTCATAGCAGCTTTATTTGTAATAGCCAGAATTTGGAAGCAACCTAGATGTCCCTCACCCGAAGAATGGATAGAGAAAATGTGGTACATCTACACAATGGAGTACTATTCAGCAGAAAAAAATAATGGAATCATGAGATTCGCAGGCAAATGGATGACACTAGAAGAAACCATCCTGAGTGAGGTAACCCAGTCACAAAAAGAGAAACATGGCATGTACTCTCTCATATATGGATTTTAGACATAGATCTGGGGAATGCCAGCCTACAATCCTATTGCCAGAGAGTCTGGGAAACAGAAACTTCATTTACTGGCTGGTTAAGTACTGAGCTGAACTCAAGAAAGCCAGTATCAGAGAGGGAGGACTGATGATCAAAGGGATTAAGACTGGGCTGGTTGAACCCCCAGAAACAGCTGACCAGACAAAGGTTAACTCTTGAATCCCAGGCATCAGCCTGGGAATCCAGCATGGGACTGATCAAGACCCCCTGAATCTGGGTGTCAGTGAGGAGGCCTAGGTAATCTATTGAGCCTTGGACAGCAGATCAGTACCCATCCCAAGTATACACACGGTCTCTGGACTCCCATAGAACAATGTGAGGTGCACTCTCACCCTGAACTCTTGGGGAAGGGTCTAGGCCCTGCCCTATATGAAATGACAGACTATGGACACCCCCATGGAGGGCCTCACCCTCCCTGGGGGAATGAGGGGATAATGGGGGGGGATGGGGGGAGGGCACGGGAGGAGGGGAGGGAAAGGGAGAGGGACCTCGTACCTACTTGTGAAGCAACCTTGTTTCTTATCTAAATTTAAAATGGAAAATAAAAAAAATATTAATAAAAAAAAAGTTCCCCTCAAGATTCAAGGGTCTATGTAGTAGACGAGGAGCTGAAAAATTGTAAGACTCAGAGGTAGTGTATAACTCCAAGGAAAAGTCATCTCCCAGACACAAGACGGTTAAACATAACTCACAAGACTGTGACAGCATGCACAAAGCTTGTACAAATTCAAAGCAGACAAAATCCCAGCATGAAAAAGGAACGTAATCACGAAGACTCACTCCTTACCACAAAACTATTTTGAAATTGATACCAATGGCATGTCGCTGAGCATATCAACCAAAACTCCCTGGCAGTCCCCCAATTCTAGGAATAGTTGAGGAACATCAAACAGACTAATAGTTTTTGTATTTTCGTCTTGTTTTTGTTGTTGTTCTATCCTTTGGGTGTTTTTTTTCTTTGTGAGAGAGCAAGCAAGAAAGAAAGAATGTGAAATAGGTACATAGAGAGATAAAGAGGATCTGGCTGTAAATGAATAGGAAAAAATACAATATATGAAGAAATAATTGTAAAATGAAAAATGTTAAAAATACTAAAGTTATAAACTGACTATAGGAATTAATAAAAATAAATTATAAGTATAATAAGTGTTTGATACACACTCATTAAATATTATCTAATCTTCACTGTGCATGCCAATAATATGTCTAAAGGCTATTGATATGATAATCACTTTTATATCTACACTTTTTAATTGTGAACTAAGATCTCCATTTTATGCTATAAGAAATTCTTTAGCTTTAATTTTTCCATTCTTTTACAATTACACCGAAGTGTATATTTATTGTCATTTTCATCCCAATCACTTCTCTCTTACATCCCCTAGTCTCTTGCAGAAACTCAGTAAAAGAACATCCTTGACATGATTCTTTTAACCTATACCAAAAATTGATTATATTTCTTCATGTTATATTTTATCACACCTGTCTTTTGTCCACCAAAAGTTTTGGTACTCTCAAGTTCCATGAGAGTTTTGATTTCTTCCATTGCATTATTGTGAGGATGCCAAAATATTTGTATGTGTTTTGCTTATAAGTAATACATAATATTAAATTCTGCTAGTGTATCCACTATGCTGGTGAATAATATTGTGTTTTCTTTATGTGGCAAGATGTTCTTTCTTTTGACCCCACAAAAGCTTCATTTTTTATTAAGATATTGGACTTAATCCCACCAGGTTTAATAAATCTCTCCTGGTTATATTTACTTATGATTGAGAATATATATATATACATATATATGCATGCATACACATATATATGTGTATATATATATATATTCAGAAGATCAATGCATGCAGGTTGGGTGATACACATTGATAGTCTAATGTTTGCACCAAAAAAACCCATCTGTTATTATGGCTTCTTTGGTTAAAGTGGGCTAAATTTATCTGGAAGCAATAAATTATGTTAAAAACTATAAACTCCAGTAGGCATTGTCTGTGAAATTTTTAGCAATCTCTATTGTTGACTAAGTTGTTTTATCACAAATGCTATAAAAAAATCACACATTCAAAAAGTTGTTCTAATTGTTCATTTGTTTCATTATCTAACAGTGGACAATAATGGGAGTTTTAATGATATTTGGGGTTTTAAGGAGATGGGACACAGAGGTAAAATTCATGAGTTAAAATGTATTTGATGGAGGGAGATGGGGGTTGGGAGGAATGCGGGGCTGGGGGAAGAGGGGAGGGAAAGGGAACTGAGGGTAATATCTGTAAAAAGTTAAATAAAATATCTGTATTTATGGAATAAGAGGAATCATTTTGTTCTTCTGTTACTGAAATGCAGAGGCAGGCATCAGGAGAAATGGTGCATAGAAAGGAGTATCCTTAGCATTATATTTAGACACTGTTTTGCCTTGTTTTAGAATTTAATTACAAGACAGCAATAGGAGATATTTTCCTTAGACAGCTAATGTTTCGAAGAATTCATGTAAATCTAATAGTTTTGCATTTGAAAATTCTGTCTGTAATATTTTACTAATCTCAAAATATCAAAGAAATGTTAAAGAAAACAGAAAATACCATTTTAGATATCAGAAAGTATCTATTACTCTATTTGAGGATGATAAATGATAGAGCATAGACAAGAAAAAATAAATCATGCAAACTCATAGTGTTTTAATCTTTCCAAACAGATATCACAGATTCAATCATGGAGCTTCCAAGTTTCTGTCACAACACTCTCCTGCTGACCTGGGGAAAACCAACATCTGCCCTGATGAAGGGAAATAATGGATTAATGTGGATAATCACTAAAGGTGGTGACAGTCATATCAACTTAGAACATTTTATTTCATGGTTCATTTGCTCATCACTTTCTGAATATAAAATCATAGTGCCATACTTTTTCCTGACTTTGACATGTTCTCTTACTATGTCCTGGGTAAAACAGTGTTAAGTTTAGGAAAGCACCATGTGTTTCATAACAGTAGTCATGAATACAAATTATGTAAATCACAAATTGACTACTTAATAAAAATATTAGTATCTGCACTTATCTAATTTACTGAAACAGGTTTCCAACACTGAATGACTGCCTTCTTGAGAATTTTACAAGACTGATTCTAACTAATCATTCAAGTGAATTTAATGTTATTTATTAGGGATGAGAGTATATCTCAGTGCTATAGTGCCTGCCTAATATGCACATGGCCCTGGTTGTGAACACCATCACCACAAGAAGCAAATAAGTGAATTAATAAATAGAAGAGGAAGGATGAATTGGGGTAGGGATGGGAGGGCAGGGTAAAGAAAGGAATATGGGGAGGGATAATTTGTTAAGAGAAGCTTTTTCTTTGAGAAGAGCCTTCCCGCCCGCCTGGTTCCAGATCCGCATCAGTCCCTAATAAACACACAGGAGGCTGTATTCATTATGAAGCTGTTGGCCTTGTTTGTCTCTTACTGGCTAGCTCTGCTTTAAGTAATTACCCCATAATTGTTAATCTAAGTATGTCTCTTACCGGAGAATAGTTTCGGGCTTCCTACCCATGCGGTTACATCTCGAACTCTCCTGTGTTTCTCCTTCCCAGAATCCTCCTGGACTCCTAGCCCCACCTATCTAGATTTCTATAGGCTCAACAGTACTTTATTGACAAATAACAGGCAAATAACAGGACTTCCCCAACAATAATTAACACTAATGATCTTTTAAGAAAGACATATGAAAACCACTACTGTGTAAATTGCCTAAAATACACACAACCATGCACTTGTATACACAAATACACACATACACACACACA